ACATGGTGGGTTTTTTTTTTTTTTTGTCCCTCTTAATCTCAGGGCCATGGGTTTGGGGCCTGTGCTAGGCACCATTTTGTGACATGAGGGTTTTTTTTTTTTTTTTTTTTTTTTTTTTTTGTCCTGGATGGTCCCACTGCCACTTCAGCCCCAAATGAACACATGGATTCTATATTAGTTATAAATCTGTTGGCCTGTGACTAGGGCTTCTTATTGGCTAGCTCTGTCTTAATTATTAACCCATTTCTATTAATCCATGTATTTCCACATAGTCTTGACTTACTGGAGAATGCGGGACCCACAACTCCTTTGCCTGCTGCATGATGATTGCTCAGTGTCTCCGCAAAGAAGAGAGGGATTTCCTATTTGTCCCTGCTTATATCCTGATTCTGCCCAGCTAGTCACTTCCTGTCTGGCCAATCAGCCAATCAATGTTTTATTCATTAACCAGTAAGAGAAACATATACAGAATAACATCTCCCATCAAAAGGCTCTGGGACTTGGGGGGTGCGATGGTTAATCTGGATTGTCAACTCAATAAGACTTAGAATCACCATGGAAACACTTCTGGGGTCTGTCTGTGAAGAAGTTTCTAGATTGGGTTAGCTGAGGAGGGATAAACCCACTATGAATGTGGGCAGCACCATTGCATGGGTTGAGGGTCTAGACGGAATAGAAGAGAAAGCAGCTGAGTACCAGTGTCTGTCTGTCTCTGATTCCTGACCACAGACACAGTGGGATCGGCTGTCTCGAGCTCCTGCTGCTGTGACTTCCCCGCCGTGATAGGCAGCACTTTCAAGCTACAGACCATAATAAGCCTTTCTTTCCTTCTTTCCACGAGTTGTTTTTATTGGGTATTCAGTTACAGCAATGAGAAGAGGGCCTAAGACACTGGAGGCCAGTGACACAGGGACACAGCATGTGAGTCCACTAAGACCCCAAGACCCAGGCATGGAGCTGCTCTCACAGAAGATGGCAAAAAGCCAGCTCTCCTGAGTCACCATGGAGTTGGGTTCCAGACTTCCCTGCTTGCTCCTGATTGTCTTTGTCTTTATTTCCAAGTCCCCAGTAACAGCTTTCTGTCCTGAGAAAATCACTCTACAACCACATGCTTAAAAAATGAAGAAATATAGAAGACCATGACCCTTACCCCACAGGCTCTCCTAACAGCCACCCTGTCCCCTCTTAACCACCCCGTGCCATCTGTACCCTTCCAGTCTAAGCCACAGGCACCTTGTAAAGTGACAGCCAGCAGTGGTGGTTGCTACCACTGTTATTCTCCTGCCTTCTGCTGTCTCTAGCTTGGGTTGGTCCCGACTCCTTGTTTGCTTCCAGACCATCCAGGCACTATGAGCAGGGGTGGTTGATGAACTGCAGCTGCCTAAATCCAGGGTACCCTGACTCTCCCTGCTTGCAAGTCCCCTTTGTCCACACATATGTGCTGGACCCGGTGGTCAGCCCGGGTCATTCTGGGGAATAGGAGCATTGCCTGAAGGGTCAGATAGATCTACACTAACCTAGGCAAAACTGCTTCCTTGATTGCTATTGACTACAGGGATGCCTTGTCTTTGGCAATTTCTAGAACCACACCACACGGACGGCTCTTGAAAGAGCCATCTTAAATCGATTACTCTTTAATAATAGGATAATACTAGAGAATATTCACATTTGGAAGACCCGAGATTCCTGTGGATTCTCTAAGAAAAAGTGCCTCAGCCAGGGGTTGCCCCCACAGTTTTGGACCTGGAGCCACACAGGTGTCAAAGGCATCAAATTGAGTATTTGGGGGAGGGGAGGTCACCTTGTTTCTTCTCCATAGGCCAGACCTGGAGAGGCCTGTCCTGTAGGCTCCTGGTTTGGGGGTTCTCCTAGGACTCAGGAGTTTATCCCTGCAGGAGGGACCTTAGGAATTCAGACTCCAATCTTTAACAATGAGAACAGAGGAACCAGGGCTCAGCCTCTAGAGTCTTAGGATGGGGCAGGGAATCCTGGCTCAGAGAAGTGCTGGCCTTCCTCCTGCCCAGCTCCACAGGGTTTTGTAAGTATGCTGTGTTAGCCCATCCCACCTCCCTTCCCTTCTCTGCCCTTTCCCTTTCTTCCTCCTTCTATGGTTTATTTTATCTTGCTGGAACTGTCTATTTCAATGCAATCTCCCCTAAGTGCAGTCATAAATAAAAATAGAATGTATGCATTAGGCTCACTTGTGTGCCATTCACATGATGTGCAGGCGGTGTACATACCAGTGATTGCACACTCTTGAATTCTGTGTACAGGTCTCTGCAAAGAATAAGATCTACCTCTGGGTGAAGCTATGCCCTTGCCTTGTCCCTTAAGGGTTAATCCTGTGGGGCAGGTCAGGACCACCCCTAGGAAGGTGGGTTCACCTTAAGATAATGTATGATTCCTGATGTAGCAAAACAAACAAACTGGAAGTAATAGAATTGCTGTCTTAAAGGGTTTGTTAATAGATTTTCTTAGGAGACATAAAGTCACACAAAGTAGAATTTAGCTAGGGGGTGCTGCCCCACAAATACCCCAAAGATAAGTAGTATACTAACCAGGCCTGTTAGAGATAAATTTACAGCACGAGGATGTAAATGCTTGTCCACTAAATTTGACTAGCCATTAGACTCGTTCTCAAAGAACATGCCTCTGACATGCTCAAGGGGGCAGTGCAGGGCCACAACCAATGTTCATTCCTGGCCTGCCATAAAGCCCACGCCCCCCTCTCTTCTTGAGAAAAGCATAGTTCTTCCAGTCGGGCAAGATGAACCTGGGTGACATCTACTGGAGAAGAGCAAAACAGGTGTACTTAGGAAATTACTCCGGCAATATCTTTGCTATGAGAATCTCCCATCTGCCCAAGTGGCCAAACTTTTAGTCTCTTTCCTGTCACTGTTTAAATTGTTCCAAGTATAACCTGGGACCAGGACTTAAAAGAGATTTAAAGGTGATAGCATCTGTAAGATGCACGAGCCTAAGTTTTACTAAGTTGGTAAAATCTTCTGGTAGCAGCAAACCCGTATTTGGCTGCTAGCCTTGGCTGGCCGGGTGCTTTAGTAAAGAGACACCCTTCATCTCTAAGATTTCTCAATGAAAAGGATGATTATTTGTGTAACATCCTTTCCAAGAATTTCAGTCCCTTAGTGCAGTCCCTATAAGCCACTGGGTTCTCCTGGGTCTACCCACTGTTGTGCATCACGACTCAGAAGGATTCAACGATTCCCTTTCTCCTCCTTTTTATCTGGGACACTGGTCAGAGCCTAACTGTGCATTTCAACTCTCCAGTGCAAGCTTCCAGCTTTCCTACTCTTTCTAAAGCTTCCATCCCCACATCCTGGCTGCCTGCCACCATGCGGCTGACCTTGACCTCTGTGCCTGCTTATCTCTCCAATCTCTTCCTTCCACCAGTGGTGCCATTCACAGCTTACCTGTGCTTGGGTTTTCCTGATAAATTCCAAATTGACCTCAAGCTTTCATCTGAGTCTTCTTTGTCCTCCAGGAGATCAAGAGCCTAGCACGGGCCTGCCACACACAGCCTCTGCCCCTGAGCCACAAGCATAAGCAGAATCCTGACCACCAGTCTCCAAATCCAACCTGATTTTTTTTTTCTTTTTCAGGATAAAACAAAGCATTAAATAACTGCTTTCTCTACAAAACACTTGGAACTGAGGCTTGGTGGGATAAAGCTGAGTCCCAGGCTCTTCTGGCTTGGCCTCAGGCTGCAGTAAGGTCTTTCTCAGAATGGCAAGACTGCATGGATTCTGAACTTGGAAGGGACTTCAGGATCTGTGGGATGCACCCACCATCAGCCCCAACACCTCGGAGATACCTCTGTCCTTCTAGATGCTCGAGACCAATATGGCGGGGAGGCTGCTTTCCGCCTTTCCCTCCACTGCCCACCACCTCCACTCAATTCTTCTCTCAGCCATGGCTCGTCCTCTTTGTCTATTCTCTTCCATCCCACAAGTCAGAGGGATCCTGGAAGAAGATATCAGGGGCCTTGGAGTCTGGTGCTCCATGTCTTACTTCATAGACTAGGTGTATATCCTCCCATCTCTGAAGTGAGGCCACACAAACCTTGGGGACACATATGCTGCCTTAGAGCCTTGCACTGGCCAATCCTTGCCAGCCACATCCTGGCTTGCTGTCCAGAACCTTGTGGCTCACTACAGGATCCTGGTTTCCCTATGTGTCTTTATGATAAGTGCCACCACCTCGACCCCCCCTCCCTGTTTCATTTCCTACTGTCTTTCCCTCTAAGGGACACTCTTTCTTTACTCTAGTCATTTCCTTCTCTATAAACCAAGATGCGGGAAGGCCGGCCATCCTCTCCTGTTCCCTCTGTAGCTATAAAACCCAGCTATGAGGCATTCAGCACATCTGTTGCTAATGGTTCCAAGAGGCCCCGTGTCCTAGGGATACACAGAAGCAAAGGCTTAGAGTAAGGGCTGTGCCCATATCTGACTCACAGGGGTTATATAAGGGCTCATGGCTGCTTAATCTCCATTCTACAACCTCTCTGCTTGAGGTCAAGGTCCACGCTCTGCAGCAAGGCCCCAGTGCCCAGTTCTGCCTGTCACCTCCACTGCAGGCTGTTCCCAAGTCTCCTCTCATAGAGGCCCTGGCCCTTCTGTAGATGCTCTGCCTTTCCCCTATAACCAAGGTGGTAGCTGTATCTAGTTAGCAGGAGGACCAATGTTTTCCCCACTGTGTCCACCTGGGCCCCCTGCTCTGAGTATGAGACTTTCCCAGGCAACCCCACAAGCCAATGTGCATAACACAGGAAATGACAGTTTGTAGTGCTAACAGACATACGTGCTCCATCTGCTTTGACTGGCTCACAGGCAGAGCTTTGCTTTTAAAAGTGCTGGCAAGGACTCCAACTGGGCCCTTGTCTTAACTGGGCTAACAAAACCTTCCAAGCAGCGTGGCGCCTCAGGTCCACCCTTGTAGGCAGTCTTGGCTCCCCAGAGTCTGCCAGCCCAGCGCTCACTCACCCTCATTCCCAATTCAATATTCTCTGCGCCGTACACCTCCATGCCTGGGTCCAGCAGGCCAATGTCCCCGAAGTACTCCCGGTCCACCACAAATGAGCAGCCAATCATGGCAGGGGTCCTGGGGAAGGAGAGATACTGTGTGAGGGTATCACCATGGTGCAACCCAGAGCCCCATCGGCCTGTGAGACCACAGCTGAGTCTGCCCCTTCCTATCCTCATGTTTCTTGTTCCCACAGACATCAGTGTGCCCTGGGTATATGAGAACCCATTTCCCCAGGAGCCATGGGCCTGTCCTTGTATGCCTTAGGCCCCGAAAGAACAGTACAGACCAGAGTCTAAGAACTTGGCTTTGGTTGTGTGACTCCAACAGATGACAGTGTCTTAGACACTGTTTTCCACATGTCACTCCTTAGTGTCTTGTCTTGTTGGTGTATAAAGATTCAGGGCTACATGAGGCTTACATGCGCCAGTTGTACACTACTCAGTTCCATAACCTTTGCTGACATCAGTCTGAATGATGAGCTCTGAAGTTACAGAGTACACAGCTTTGCAGCTGTAGTCAACAGACTGCCGACTGCCACGTAATATTTTGACTTAAACCCACACACTTAAAAATGGCAGCAAAAAGCCTTTGGCATTTTGTTGAAATCATGAATGGATATGCTAATTATCTAGGTAACAAAAATCCATCAATGTCAGCTGGGCAGTGGTGGTACATGCCTTTAATTCCAGCAGCACTTGGGTGGCAGAGGCAGGTAGATGTCTGAGTTTGAGGCCAGCCTGGTCTACATAGTGAGTTCCAAGACAGCCAGGGTTACGCAGTCTCTCAAAAAAAAAAAAAAAAAAAAAAAAAAAAAAAAAAAAACTAAACAAAAAACCAAAAACCAAAACAACAATCCATCAGTGTGCATACCCCTGGAAGTGGTAGCATGGGAAAGCAAAGATCAATAAAGGACCAGATGGGGGTGGAGAGTGAGTGGCCACCACCTTGATGACACTTTGCCAGAGTGAATGGATTGGCACAGGGTGAAAAATGCTGAAAAGATGAAGAAAAGGCAGTGCCACTTTTCCTTAGAACAAAGGCAACCCTCGGCATTGAGCACTTAGTCTCACCCAGGCCATGACTTTCTGAGGGACCTGTCATGGTCTTCCATGGCTCCTAAAGCTGAAGCCAGTGGAGGTTACTCAGGGTTCCTGGTTTCCCAGCTCAAATCTTTCCAATAACAAGAATGAAAAGACATCAGTCTGCATCAAATTTTTGTTTTGTTTTGTTTTGTTTTTGTTTTTCAAGACAGGGTTTCTCTGTATTGCTTTGGAGGTTGTCCTGGAACTAGCTCTGTAGACCAGCAGGCTGGCCTCAAACTCATGGAGATCTGCCTGTCTCTGCCTCTTGAGTGCTGGGATTAAAGACGTGTGCCACCAATGCCTGGCAGTCTGCATCAAATTTAACAGAAGCATTCTGCTCTTGCTGCCTGGAAAGGCAGTGATGAACATCATCTGAAAAGTGGTATTAAAAAGCAGTTGTCCTTTTATTTGTGCAATGATACAATTTCTTTTTTGTTCACAAAGATAACAGTAACAAAATGTTAATAGCACTTCTGGTTCTTAATAGCAAGAACTTGATTGGTTAAGATATAATCCCAATGTACAAATAGGTGTGGCTCTCATCTTCTTAACAGCAGTAACAATCCCAGGGTGACTTCTGATGAAGAGAGGTGCCAAATCCCCCACCACCAAGGCTATTATAGCCAGTAATGACTTTTTATTATTATTGCCTGGCTCCAAAATAAACGTAAACTCATGAGGAGACAGTGCATGAGTCAGATGCACTGATTTTATTTGCATAAGAAACTCTTGCTGTGATTACAGAAGAGTAGAACCAAGCGATGCCTCAAATGAGGTTTTCTCAGGTTGGGGGATGTGTCCTGGTCATTATAGGGATGTCCCCTACTTGTGCAACATTCAGAGGACAGTAAGACACAGCAACAGGTCTCCAGGGGTCCTGGTCTGGGGATTGTTTATCCCAATCAAATCTCTTGACTCTAATCCTGTCTTCTGGCCTTTAGGCTCCACTAGGCCATGGATGTTTCTGTTGTGGCATAAAAAGTGGATCAACCCAAATGGTCTCTGTGGCTGACTAGATAGACAAACAATGGTTTGTGTACAGCATGGAACATACAGGAGTATATCAGCTCACCAAGAGTCAGGCCACACCAAGGAAGAAACTGGCTTTAGGCGGTCACATTTGGGGCCCTGGTTCCATACACAGGCTCCTTCATCTTTCCACACTTCTCTCTTTCATGTCTCTCTCTTTCACTTCTGGGAGTTCTATTATTTGTGTAAAATTTGACTCCAATATTCTATTGCAGTCACTTATTTGGAAACAGCAGCGGTGATTCTGGAAACCCACTGGAGCCATGTAGGGATGACAAGCCAGAAGCAGTATTCCATGGACACCTGTCTTGCAGAGCTGTGGCTCTGAGTGGAGGTCATAAGCAGTCAGTTCAGAACCAGATTAAAATTGGTGGCACACGCCTTTAGTCCCAGCACTCGGAAGGCAGAGGCAGGCAGATCTCTGTGAGTTCGAGGCCAGCCTGAACTCCAGAGCGAGTGCCAGGTTAGGCTCCAAAGCTACACAGAGAAACCCTGTCTCAAAACAAACAAACAAACAAACAAAAACCAACAAAACAAACAAACAAAACAAAACTGCGAAGTTCTGTTATTTCTCGTTCCCACTCTGTTAAGTGACCTTCAGCTCTTCACGGAAGGCTACAGAGGATGGGCCCCACCACTGACTGTGTGGGGAAGGTGCTTTTTTTTTTTAAGCTTGAAGATAATTTCATTCGAGTTTTAAAAGATAAACCTCAGGGCAGACAATGCCCTTAATCCCAGGATTGGGGAAGCAGAAGCGGTAGTCACAGATCTCTGTGACTACGAGGCCATCCTGCTCTACATGTCAAGATCCAGGCTATCCAAAGCTACATAGTGATACCCTGTCTCAAAGTGGGCAGGGGTAGGTGGTTGTGCCATTTTGCCCTTTGAATTAAGACAGCATGGCAGAGAAGCAGCCACTTAGTAGGGAGGAGGGCGGGCTTCAGAGGAAGAGCTAAAAAGCCCAAAGCGTTAGGGAGAACACACCTAGACTTAGGCCAGTATCAGAAAGAGACAGAAAAAGTTATCCTTTCTGAGTCCCTACTCAGAAAGGGGTGGGAGTGTGGGGGGGAGCTCACAAAACCTCAGGGAAGCTCTGTTATGACTGCATCAGGGGCAGGCTTTCCAGGAAGGAAAGGTACATTATCTCATTAAAGGGTTAATTATCCCTCCCATCTTTTTAGCATGGTGTTAGGTGGATCAGAACCTGAAAGATGATCCGTTTAGCTAGGTCATTGACTGGCCCAGCTGATGTAATTAAGGAAGGAGATAACTGCAAGTCTCCCCACAGGCAGATTCCATTCCTTTGCTGGTCACACTTAGGAGGAATGAGCATAGATCTCCTTGTGTCAGAGGAAGTAATCTTGGTGAGGAGCAGCAATCATTCCAGATCGATGGGGATTTTGCCCATGGTTCCCGCTAACACAAAGTAAGTGCTATCTGATTGGGATTTGTCTTTGGCTCTTGATCCTCCAAGTGAGAAGCGTGATATGAGCCAAGAGTCCCCCATTATTCCAGATGTTATAGCATGAGGGAGGTGGCAACCAACAGCATTCTCCCTCCTCTGTTGCTCCTGATCCAACACCCTGAGGGAGAGGATATTGCCCCCACCATCTCTCATGCTCGAGTGAGGAAGTGATATCTGACAGGATTCCCCTCTGTTGCTCCTCATCTAAAACTGTGAGGGAGGTGACACCTGACAGGATTCTCCCCCACATTTCCTCATATTCCAGCGTGAGGGAGGTGACATAGGACTGCATTCCCCCGTCTCTCCTCATACACCAGGGGGAGGGAGGCCATGATGAAATCGTCCACCATCGTTCCTCCTGGTACTCCAGAGTTTAGGGACATGATGCCCGACTGGATTCTCCCTTGGACTCACAGGCAGGGGAGACAATGATACCAAGACAGTGATGCTCAGCTGACATATCAAACCACCTCCAAGGGCAAATCCGTGAAGGAGGTTGTGTCTGTCAGGATCTCCTCTGTGGCTCCTGGTGCTCCAGAGTGAATGTCAGTCAGGACTCACCTGGCCAAATATTTGGCTTGAGTCTGTTATCTTAAAAATTGCCCTTACAGGCCATTGTATATAAGCCTTTTTATGGATCGTGCTTTCATTTATTTTGAAAAGCCTGCCAGGAATAGAATGTCCAGATTACACAGGAAGTTCCCGTGTCTTTACAAGAGACTGCCAGTTCTCCAAAATGGCTTCTACTAGCCAGACATGAGCTTCTGTGTGCACCACCCACTTAAGAAAGAATTGTCCATCTTCATTTCAGCCGTCCTCTTGGGTACATAGCGGCGTCTCTGCCAGGTTTCAACTTGCATCTTTTCAACTGGGGCTTCCGTCTGTCTAGCATCTTTCCAGTGGTTAGCCACGTGCCTGTCTTTTCTTATTTATTTATTTATTTGTTTACTTGGTAAATGTTAAGTCAGCCCCATCAGTTAGCTGGTTTTGGGCACCAAGGTTAACAGCTTCTGGATGATTCTAATAAACTTGTTTGGGAACCACCATCCCACAAGATTCAATCAGGCCGGCAAGCTTGTTCCCTACTGTCTTTTGGGTATCGAGAGCCTGCCACAAACTGTGGGAGATGCCTCCCGTTGGGCCTCTGACTTCCACTGATTTCTAAAATGTCACACACAGAGCATTTATCTTGCTACTAATTAGGATCATGAAATGAATCTCAAATGAAGAAAAATAACCTTCAGACTGTCACTCTCTGCTTCAATGAGCCCCTTGGGAGCCATCTGTGAGCCTTGTGCTTCAGGAAGCTCCTCGTTTCTGGCCTTGCTGTAAAGCCCAGAGCCCAGACCCCTGCTCAGCAAACTACTGCAGGCCAGGCCAACTCCAAGACTTCTGGTCCATCTCTGAGGAAAAACCATGTGGAGCTAGGAGGTATGGTGAGATGGCGCTTTGCCAACTTTGGAAGCTCCCTTAGTTTTAGTGTTGTGAAACCATTTCCTCTGGGGCGATTTTTTTTTCCTCCTTTTGCACCAAATGATTTCATCTGGATTTAGGATTTAAAACCAATAGCTCTTTGCCAGTGGAGAGATGAGCAAGGCACTTCATTCAACTAGTTCCACAGTCTGCAGGGTCGAGCTGTGCACCAGCCTGGAAGGCCCCCAGGAGACCCTTGTACAGGACAGACTATGGACTAAAGCTTCTCTCAGCACTCTAGCCAGAATGCAACATTTTACCAGGAGGCCAGGAGGTGGGCCCCCCCAAGACCCACTGTGGGAGATAGAGTACAGTGGGCAACAGCACCCTGGGCCCAGAAGCATCTGGAGATGTTCATTCATTCCGAAGACAGTTCTGGAACCCAGGAGGATCCCCCAGGAGAAAGTGGAACAAGCTACCAGATGTGAAGGTACAGATTCCCCAGGGGCTCATCATCAGACGGTGTGGTGGGAGGGGGTGTTCTGGGGAAGGGCCCCAAAACTGCAGAAACATGGCAGTGACAACACAGGCAGGTGAACGAAAATTGACTAAGTGGGATGACCGATAGTGGCAGGGTCTCCCACACACAAGCTCCCACGGCCCCTGATGGCCAGGGCCCATAATTCTTTTGGATGAATGCGGCCCATGCTCAGGGCTTCTCCACGGCTGCCTCCTCTGCTCTCTGCCTTTCTGTCTCTGTATTTTTCTTTTCCTCTCTCCCTCTCCCTCTCTCCCAGTCTGTCTCTCTGCCTCTCCCTGAGTCTCTGTCCTTCTCTATACTTCTGTCTTTGTTTATACATCACTGACCTTTAACCTTTATCTCTCATTCTTTCTGTCTCCTTCTGTCACTGTCTCAGTTTGTCTTGTCTTTATCTGTTTCTGTCGCTCACTCAGCCTATCCCTATATCTCCATCTTTGAGCCCCCTCACACACTGTTGCTGTCTCTCTTGGTCTCCCCCTCCTTCTCTGTGTTTCTGCCTCTCCTCCTTCCAACCTTACAATACCAGCCCACAGCCTAATCAGACCTGATCATCATTCTGGTGGACTTGGATCTGAGCCAACCCTGTCCAGGTTCCCCGACCATGGCTACTCTGTAGTCTTGGCAGTCCCTGCCCCTGTAAGGTGCACATCTTTCCTCTGAGGCCAGGCCGGGGTTTCTTCAAGGAAACAATTCTCCCTCTGGTCCTGAACCATCTTTGGTGGCACCTCCCCACCCTCACAGTGATCCTGGCTCACCTGATGGGTGCTGACTCATCACCACGGTCCAGCCAGTCCTGTGGAGGGATGATGTACATGCACCACAGGCCCCAGTTGTAGCCGTGGGCGGCGCTGGCGTACTGCTGCACCTCAAACGTGCTGAACTTGATGTTGTCGATGGCTGGCAGGATGATGCGACGGCGGTCCTCCCGGATCCGCGCAAGGGCGGGCTCTGCCCTGCAGAAGGCACTGGCCATAAACAAGAGCCATCCCAGAACCCTCAGCAACCCAAGGAAGGAGCTCCACTGACCATGAGTGCAGACCCTTCAACTAGGCCCGGTCATGGCAGACTTGGACTACAAGGAATGGCTAACCCACAACACTGCCCTGACCAAAGACTGGGCCTTCTTGACCGGTCAGTTCTAGGCTCAGGGACATCTGAATGTTCAAGGGTCAGCCATGGCCCTGGGGTTGTACAGAGAGCTTTCTTAGCCTAATTCTACTCTCCCCTCTATTCCTGTGCCTGTGGTAGGTACATCCATTTGCAAAAGCTAACTGAAGGCCACACTTGTAACAGATTGTGTTCGTAAGAAGAAAAAAATATCCATATGCCTCATGGTGCATACATATACCGTATGCAACGCACAGCCTACATAACAGGCCGTGGTTAAGGGGAACGAGGATGATGATGTGTGGGAGGTGAAAGGCATTATGAAAAGCAAGCGCGAAGCAGTGAGTGGGGTGAGCTCTGCAGCTCTAGATGATACCCAGTGTGGAGTGCTCTGGGCACTGAGTGGGAGGACACTAGGGTGCGGGGATGGAAGTCCACACTGACAGAGCAGCTTTACCAGCCATTGGTACATGCTCAGTATGCATGGGGGGAAGGGGATCAGGAGGCCATGGGAGAGATGGGCAGGCAAGAGAGGTTCTAAAGGCAGAGGCTAGGGGCCATAGCAGCAGGCTTTCTTTCCATGGCATCAGCTGGGCTGATGCCTGTGCAGTATCTTGGAGGTAGCAGGGACAGACCTGGCCTTTGGGGTCACACTGTCTACCACAGGACAAGGTTCTATTTGGAGGACTACATCCAAACTGGGGTTCACCTACTGTCTGAGACTGACATGACTAGTGGGCTGAGGGTCTGTATGCTTCAGAGATGGGGGGATCAAGAGTCGGGGCAATATGGGGAGGGGCCAGCCCCTAACCTTGTCCCTCTGGGAGCCTCTATTGTCCTACCTCCTCATCAATGAGTGAATATATAAAGGACACCACAGAGACTGCAAATGCCATGTCTGCTAACATGCAGGATCTGCAATAAAGGCCAAGCTAGGAGGGTGCTGTCCTCAGATAACGGGGTTTCCAATTGAGTGAAAATGGGAGTTATACAGGTTTAAAAAAAAAATCACATTCTAACTGATAAATTCAGTTCTCCCAAGTGCTCACTATCCCTCAGGGAGCTGATGGTAGATAGAGTGTTCATTGTTGTGCAGTGTACAGCACAGGCCACAGTATGGGGTGATTCTGGTGGGAGGGTACATGATGGCACATAATGAATGATGTAGGATTCAAGGAGGTGACAGAATAATGGAAAAAGAAGTCTTGTCACAGAGTGGCAGAGGAGGGAGGCACGGGAGTATGAGGAGCAGAAGGAAGCCAGGTCTGTCAAACACCTGTTGAGTACAACCAGTAGCCCGAGCCTGCAGAAGGTATCCACAGTGCCTGCCAGGGTCCACAGTGAGGACCCACCCTGGGCCAGTTGTCTATTTTGCCCCATTTTCAAGAGAGACTGAAACTTGGGGGTTTTGTATCACTTCTCCCACCTCTTTGAAAGAAACTTAAGTTACATTTTATTTATTGTGCACACAATAAATAAATTGTGCAAGCCATAGTGTATGTGCGGAGGTCAGAGGACAACTTGGATGATTGATTCTCTCCTTCTACCACGTGGGTCCCAGGGATCAAAGTCAGGCTTGGCAGCAAGTGCCTCTACCCTCCAAGCCATCTCAGCAGCCCACTGACTCATTTTTCAAACTGAGAAGTTTGTCTTGGTGTCAACCTGGGGGTCAGGGGACTGGGTGTTACAAAGGGGCTCATTGCACAACTGTGTAGAACTATCTACTCTTTTAGTACAGGGACCTTCTGAGCTCCTGGTTGTTGGATGGCAGTTCCTGGTTCACCCAGTTTGGCCTCTCAGACAGGTGTGGCTTGGAGGCAGCTTCTCTTGTACCTCAGCTATCTCAACAGGTTTGGTGCAGGGGCTTCCTGGATGAGCCAGTGACCAGATTCCCAATAAGGGACAGGAGGCCTTGTGAAGGCCAGCAGAGGAGAAGAAGTGCAGCCATAAGCTGAGGGATACCTAGCCGTCAGGAACTTCGAGAGGGAAAAACCCTCTCTAGAGCCTCAGAGGGATGCAGCCCCAAAGTGCCTTGGTCCAGGTGCCCTAGCTGGGAGAGGACAAATCCCAGATATCTCTGGCAGCTGGTAAGGGGTTTTGGTCATGGTGGCCTCAGGGCAGTACTTTCCAGGCCACTTTTCCACTGCTCTGCTCTCCACACCCTGTGGTGCCCACTCTTACTTCTCATACCATGTCAGCCTAAGTGGCTTAAGGTCCCAGTTGCTCATGGGACATGCGCCTACGTGATGGCAGGTGTCACTCTGCAGTCTTGATAGACACACAGACACTGAGTTCCAGAGGAGAGCCATAGGTAGGGCTTCTAATGCCCCCTTCTCCATATGAAAAGCCAAGATCGTAGTGACCATTGCCAATCACACCTATAGGTAAAGCACAGCCTGCCAGTCACATGTATAGGTACAGCACAGCCTGCCAGTCACATGTATAGGTACAGCACAGCCTGCCAGTCACATGTATAGGTACAGCACAGCCTGCCAGTCACATGTATAGGTACAGCACAGCCTGCCAGTCACACCTATAGGTACAGCACAACCTGCATAGAGTAATAGCTGGGAATCCTTGAAATTGGAGGAGGGCTTTCCTGAAGCAGGAAGCTCCATGTTCCTCTGCCCAGCTCCTACCCATGGGACAAGGAGCCAGCTCTGATCCCAAGCCTCTGACATAGCTTCCCCAGTATGGGCCAGTTGCTGGACAAAAGATACTGTCCTCCAAGGCATCCTTTGCTGAAAAAACATGAGAAAGCCCAGGACAGACTCTGGGGTACTCAGCCCTTGTGGGTGTCTTGAGCTTACACAGGCCTGCCCTGGTCTAAGAAGCAAGCAGGGATAGGTTCCTGCCTCCGTGGACCACAGCAAAGAAAGGGATAGATAGATTGCTCCTATAATAGATGTCTTGCATACCTGATGGACTGTGACCACAGAATGGGGATGCTTCTTCATCTCCCGGTCACAGGGTCCCCTCGGTTTCTCATTTGAGCCCAATCCTTCCCATGAATGAGAAGTAGTATCTAGAATTTCTTAATCTATAACTTCCCACAATGTCAAGAAAACTCTCCCTCTCATGCCAAAATGGCTTGGCCTATTAGCAGAGCCCATCTCTGGAAACCTCCAGAGCCACAGCCCCACCTCATCTTATGAGCTCTCTGACCTGAATTCCCACAGGCTGTCCCTGTGTTCACAGACCCAAGCCCTTACCAGCCAGTATTGAACTCCACGTGGGCATCAAAGAAGCCAACAACGGGAGCGGTGGCCACCTTCCAGCCCTGCAGCCGGGCACGGATCAGACCTTCCCGACGGCTGTTGCGTACAACCTTCACAAGGCCTGGGTACCTTTTGTGAACATACTGGTCCAGGTTGAACTTGAGTTCCACTAAAGAGGAAAGATATGTGTGTTAGCATGCTACACCAGCAAGAGTCCAGGACACGACTGGGACGTTTGAGTCCTGCTCCCAAATTGGAGTTTCAAAAAGGTACTGTGAGGCCACATTAGGTTGGGTGATGTCCAACATGCTGGCAGGACTATGAGAGGACAAAACCCCAGTCCTATGAAGCTGGTACTTCCTGGAAAGGTAGCAAAGGGAAAAAACAAGCACAACTCAGACCAAATCGATAGAGGCAGTGTAGGCAGCAGGACCAGCCACTGAACTACAAACGAGAATGAAAACCCTGTGCAGATGAGGGGATGTCCAGCCAGGTCCTTACAAGCAGGAATGAAGTCCTGTGCTGTTAGCATGAGTTTTCTGGCCCTTGAGCCCAAATGAACACACAGATGCTATATTAATTATGGAACTGTTGGCCGATGACTAGGGCTTCTTATTGGCTAGCTCTGTCTTAATTATTAACTCATTTCTATCAATCTATATATTGTCACGAGGCTGTGGCTTACCCGGTAATGCCCAGCATTGTGTTACTCCTCTAGCAGCATTGTGACTCTAGCCTGCCTACACCTCCCAGAATTCTCCTTCTCTCCTGGTCCCACATATCCACTGCCTCATTGGCCATTGGCCCAACGGTGTTTTATTCATCAACCAATAAGAGAAATACATGCAAAAGGACATCCCCATCACTGTGAAGATGAGGGGGCAGCCAGCAAGGTCCCTCCACACTAGGGAGCCACTTGGTCGTAATGAGATAGGGTCCTCTGATACTGCAGCATTATGGAGGAACTGTAACATAGCACTCAGTGACACATACCAGACACTCACAGATGAATGCAGCTTGACTGTCTTCATGAAATGCCTACAGGTGTCAAATCGACAGAGGGACAACAGGAAAGTGTTGGCAGCTGGGACAGGTAAAGAATTGATTTCTGTGAGAATGCATGCTGGCTCACACCTGTGATCCCAGAACTCAAGCAGGTGAGGCAGGAGGATCTCTGTGAGTCTGAGATCACCTTAGGCTATGTGCTAAGTCCCAGGCTAGGCTGGGCTATAGAATGAGGCTCCAGAGGCCCCACCTCCACAAAAGATTCTAAGGTAGAGGTAGTGGTTGCCCAACATGGGTATCTCAATATCATTGGACCACATACTTGAAAATGGTTAAAATGGTAAAGGAGGGAGTTTCTAATTGGGTTAGTTGAGGGGGAGGCCCATCCTGACTGTGGGCAGCACCACCCATGGGCAGGAATCCTGGGCTAAATAAAACAGGAGAGATTGAGCCAAGCACCAGCATCCATTTTTTTCTGCTTTCTGAATGTGGGCGGACTAGCTGCCTTATGCTCCTTCTGCCACGTCTTCCCCACTGTGACGAACTATGCCCTTAGCCTGTGAACCAAAGTAGACCCTTCCTTAAGTTGATTCTATCAGACATAAGTCACTAATGCAGGCCTATTGGTAGTGGCCTTGAGAAGAAAAGGCACAAAGAACTGCACCCCAACAATGCAAAGACAGAGCCAAGGGTTACAGCCCGGAGCCCCCATGCATTGCTGCCAGCCACAGAAAATGGGAGGACACTCGGCAAGGTGCTTTCCCTGGCCACACCTCCAGGCTATTGCCTCAAAGCTTAGCAAGTCAACACTATGGCTTCAAGCCCCTAGTTAGAAGCCCTTGGCTGGGGCAGCCTGAAGATGGTGGTTTCTGTCCCACCTGGTCCTACAGCCAATTAGTCCTAAATAAACACAAAAAGACTTATATTAATATATAAACCGTTTGGCCGATGGCTAGGGCTTCTTACTGCCTAGCTCTCTCTTAATTATTAACCCATTTCTATTTATCTAAGTATTTCCACTTGGTCTTATCTTACCGGAGAAGGGTCCAGACCTGTTACTCCTTCCTCTTCTACATGGCATCTCTCGGTGGCCTCTCTCTACCTTCCTCTCCCCAGCCTTCTCATCACATAGCCCCACTTCTTTGACCCCCAAACAGGCTTTATTTGTGCAAGAAAGATATCACCACAACAGCTCCAGGAGTCTATACACCCCGAGAGCTGGTCCATAGCTGCAAATCTGTGTTCTCGACATCACTGCCCTTAAGGCGTGGTACCCACTCACCATTGTCGCTGTTGTCATCCACCAAGATGACTTCCTTCAGGAGCTGGGAGGGTGTATGGTTGACCACGCTGTGTACCGAGCGCAGGATGACCGAAAGAGCCTCGTTGACAAAGATGAAGACCACAGAGATCTGGGGAAGGTCTTCAGGGTGTGTTATCTGTTTGCACCTGTGGAGGCATGGTGCTCATCAGGATGAGCAGCAGGCAGCTGGGATTGGGGCGGCCCCTCAGTGCTGGGCTATTACCTAGAAGTGTAAGATGAAGTAAACTCTCCCAACCCCCAAGTTACTTTTGGTCACAGCAACAGAAACTCTGAGATACTGGGATATATAAGATGCTGTCTCAAAAACAAACAAACAAAAAATGAAAACAAAACCTAACCCAGGGGCTGAAGAGATGGCTCAGTAGTTAAGAACACTGGATGTTCTTGCAGAGGACCCAGTTTCATTTCCCAGAACCCACATGGTGGCTCACAACCATCTGTAACTCTAGCTCCAGGTGGATCTGACACCCTCTTGTGGACTTCAAAAGTACCAGGAATGCATGTGGTTTGCAGGCATATACATATATACATGCATATATGCACATATACACAGGCAAAACTCCCATGTACATAAAATAAAATCCAAATAAGAAAGGTAAGGAAAAGGCAGGGAGGGAGGGAGACTGGTTGGTTAGGTGACTTATACTTGTAATCCCAATACTCGGGAGGATGAGGCAGGAGGATCTGTAAGGATTCAGGCATTATGCTGTTCTACCCCTGTTACCTGGCAGAATGCACTCAGGCAGTACCCTGGTCAGCCCAGGGTTCCATGAGTACTAGTCTGCATGCAGGTGCAAAGGACCCCTTTAAAAGACAGATCCCCTTGCCAGGGCTCACTCCTTTAATCCCAGCACTCGGGAGGCAGAGGCAGGCGGATCTCTGTGAGTTCGAGGCCAGCCTGGTCTCCAGAGCGAGTGCCAGGTTAGGCTCCAAAGCCACACAGAAAAACCCTGTCTCGAAAAACCAAAAAAAAAAAAAAAAAAAAAAAAAAAAAAAAAAAAAGACAGACCAATACACTTACTCTCTCTTGCTCTCTCCTCTCTTGCCCTTTGCTCTCCCTCTCTCTCCCTTTGACTCTCTCTCTCCACCCCCTCTCGATCCTCCATACCCCCACCCCCGTTTAATAAACTCCACGGTTAATGAATCTCTTGGTTCGTGTTCTGTCACACACAGGTAATTTAAACAAAAGAACAACAGGATTACTATGAGTTCGAGGCTAGCCTGGATACATTGTGAGTTTCAGGTCAACCTGGGATAGAACGAGACCCTATCTCAAAACAACAAAGAAGAAATGGATAAAAGAGGAAACAAAAACTCGGGTGAAAACAAGGGATGGGACCCACTGAAAGACGTTGGATGCTATACCAAAGTAAAAAAATGTTTCCTTCCTCAAAAATGGAAAAAGCTGTTAAGTTAAACTCACCTACATTTGTGCGACATGGAATGCTACAGGAGAGATATGCTGGGTGGGGGCCCCATGACCCCTTCAGAGGCAGGAGTGTGAATGAGTACCAAAGGTAGACAGAGGTGGGACAAAACTGGGCATGAGGGAAGATAATACTGAGGGAAACTAAAGTTACAATTCTTTATTACGAAGGGGAAAGGCTGGAGAAGAGCTAGGGGGTCTGACCAGGATACAGCATCAGCACCCAGAGCAGTACTGGGGATGGACGGGGGCAGGAGTCTGCAGGAATTACACATGTCCCTAATGCTTCCAGGGAATGTTTCCATTTTGTTCCAGTGCTCAACAGCCAAAGGCACTTGACAAATCTGATAATAAGAGTTCAATCCCCAAGACCCACAAAGTGGAAGGGAAGAAATGATTTTTGCAAGTTGTCCACTGACCCTCAGACATGTGCTGTGGCAGGCATGCCCCAAGCCCACAAATCAACAAACAAATAATGTAACTTAAGATTTTGAATATATAAGGAAAGAAAATCACAGGGGTATATAAACAGATGGCCCTCTATCCAGCTTCTGCCTCCTCTTCAGTCACATGGGGTTTGGGGATCTCTCTTTAACTAATCGTAACCATAGTATCTCTGCTTCTAAATGAAGCTCTGAAGTCCTGTAGGTTAATATTTCAAAGTGAATTTTGGGGGCACAGATTAGTCTGTGACACCAGGAGCAGCAATGTTCATCCCACATTCAGACTGAGCTAGAATCCAAGGGGTTTTTGTGTCACTTCTTGAGAACACGGATAGCATTTGCTCACCGTCTACTCTTTGTGTCTTTTCAGTCAAGAGTCCCCGATTATGCTGTTAGAGATGAGCACTCTCCCTTGGCAGCAGGGGTTCAAACCATCGTCAGGAGCGGAGCATGGAGTGGGTCTCCTGTAGTTAAGGACCTGGCCATCCCCAGAAGTCACCTCCTTCGTGGACAGGCTGCCTACCTCTTGAGCTGCCTGTGTGACTTTCAAGGGACAGCTGCTGCCTAGCTCCACATTGATATGGGCTGCGTGTGCTTAGCCATGGAGATTTCATCACTCAGACAAACGCTTCCTGACAAGAAGACCTCAGTCCATTTATCCGTGGAGGAGAAAGTTGGAACGTATAATTTCATGAACTTGTGAAGCATGTAAAACAGAAACCACCAGCAGGCTTGCGGGAACTGCAGCCACACAAAAGGAAACCCCATAGCTCCATGGGGGAGGGGTGCAGTTGCTCTCTGCACCCTACCTACAGGCCACTGTGTCACTGGTCCATCATTGGTGCCCCTTGTCCATGGTTTATGCCTACTGTTGTTTAAGTTCCCTCCTGGAGGAGGATTGTAAATAATGTTTACTTCTCCTCCTAAGACCCCAACAACGAACAAGCACAATTCCACCCAAGTTCACTCTGGGGAACAAACTGGGCTTCCTACAGAGTGTTGGTGAGGACTGAGTTACAGGGCTGTGAGCGCCGCCCTTGAAGGGCCACACCAGAGAGTCTTTAGCCATCAGGGATGTTGATTTTCCCACAGCTTCACAGATGAAGCCTCTCCAAGTCTTCCCTGTCCTGTATACGTGAGCCCCTCTCAGAGGCCACATGCAATTAGAGCATGTGCATACAGCAACAGGTGGCAGGGAGACACTAGGTACTCAGGTGACCATCTTGTAATCATTCTTATCTTTCAAGGAGGGAATGTAAACAGCCAACATGCCCAGCTGTCTGACCCTTTTGCAAGTGAGATGGTGGTTGGTTTGTTCTGGGGACACTTATATATAACACCCACCCAGCACTTGAACCTCATGCCCATGTCTCTCACCCGTGTCCTCTGCCAGGGTCTTCTCTCCACTAGTCCTTTATGAGAAGGTGATGGTGGACATATAGGCCAAGTACCATTTGAGCATCTGCAAATCACTGCCATGTGCTATCAAGAGGCAGTGGCTGGCTGGGTCAGGAAGGACTGTACCAATTGTTTCTGTTTCTGGGTTAGTTGGCTATAAGCCCATGAACTTGGCCATTGGGCACATGCACTTGTTCCAAAGAACCCTCCATTGACAAGAACTGGTTCATTAGGGTGTGTGCTTTGAGAGTGCCCTGTCTCTGGCCCTCAGCCTAGCAAGCGCTGTTGAGAGGGAGAGCTCCTACCTCCCCCGGGCTCAGCCTCTCCTCACTGGTTTCCCTTTGGCATGTTGGTTGCTTCCCCTTCCTGGTTGTAGCAACCTTCCTCTTACAAGCACACTGCCTTCACTGAGAAGGCCAGGGTTTCCTCACAGTCACCATGCACTGGTCTAGGAAGTGGGCATAGGCCACTGGACTCCCGGTCACCTGCAGAAGAGCCAGGGTCTCCCAGGAGTGGAGGGATAATGGCCCCTTCTCAGAAATATCAATGTTTGCCTAGCAGAAGCACAGCATGAGATGGTATGCAGAAGACAGCGCTCCCATTTGCTAGAACCCGGCCTCATGGTTAGGAGACCCCAGGGAAAATGGAGGGAAATAGCTTCATTCTGTAATTATCTCCAGAGATAATTGGATAATATGTCAGAGATAAAGACAAGCTAACTAGAGAGACACACAGAGAGAAAGAGACAGAGGGAATGTAGAGAGATAAAAAACAGAATAGTGTCACGCAGTCCTTTAAACACCTGACAAATACAGAAATGAGTAGCTGCTGGCTCACGCCTCACATCCTTCCACACACCCTCCCACCCTGAGCTTTTGCTATTTGTCTAATCTCCCAACTTCCCTAGCCCACTTTGAATCGAGGTTTGCTTTTTTTGTTTTGTTTTGTTTTGTTTTTCACAAGAAAGGGCATAGGATGTCCTCTCTAGCAAGCATAGATACAACACAGAGCTGAGCCCATTCCACCCCCAGTTCTGTTCGCTCCTTAGGGGCACTGACGTAGGTCTGACAAATATCCTTGCTACTCTCTATGTGTTACAGAGAGTTATATGTTATGTGCCCTTGAGGTACCTTGTCCCTCCTTCAGATAAATGATGACTGTTCAATATGGAGTCAATGTGGTACCCTGGGCTGAATGTGTAAAGTGCTCATGAGGTAGTGTCTCAGGCCACCCTGTGCCCCCTCCTAACCTTGGGTTCCCTAGAGGTGCTGTGTGGGCTGAGATAATGCTTGTGATCACTCAAGACCTCAGAACCCCAGTGTCACAGAGGAAAAGAATAAACTGCTATTCCATGGCCCTGAAGTAACTCAGTGTCCAGGAGCCGGAGGTTCCTCCCAGCATCAGTAGCATCCATCATGTCTGTCAGAGAGGGAATAAACCAGATCTCAGGTTTTCTTATGGCTGGCCACACTGCCTTTCTGTGCACCAGGAGGTGGTTGCTATGTCTTGTTTCCAAGCCAAGGGAAGAGTGTAGCCCTGTGTCCAAGCAGAATAAAGCAGAGTGTTCAACCATGAGGACTGATAGGCAACAATCAACCAACTAGTGTTCCCCAAAGTTGGGCCCACTATGGGTTTACTATGGATACTGCCCCCTCCCAGTGCTGGCGTACAGTGGGGTTTCTGGAAACACATGGATGAGCATGAGCTGGAAGAGGAGGATTGAGGCTGAGGCTGGAAAGTGCACTAAAGGGACCACATACCGCAGAGGTTCCTGCTCACAACAGGGAGATGGAGGAACCCTGCCACAGAGATGGCAGGAGCAGCACACTTGCTGAGAACCTGAGCACCCCTCCTCAAA